TACGTATAATATTTAATATATTGATTAACATATATTTATTTCACATTGTCTATGTTTCATATGTATTCGGTTTACAATGTGAAATTTTTTTACATTGACTTTTTGTTTCACAAACACACAAAAAAGGTTCACATTTTGAACCAAATACATATGAAACAAACACTTTGTTAAACAAATATATATTGATCGATATTCTAAATCCTAGTCTTAGATGAAAAAGAATCATATGAAATAGCACATGATGCACTAGTTTTCAAGGTTATCACAATTTTACGAGTTCTTAAAAGATTGTACCCCTATATTATATCTAGGCAACTTCATTTGTTGACTCATAAAATAATACAAACTTTATTGACCAATACCAACCGTTAATATGTTTTAATTAATGGGCAAGATTGTTTGGTGGCAACTTTATAGTGTCTCATAAATTGGATGTGCATGAAATTTGGGTACCATTTGGTACGCAGACATAATTGGACAAGATTGAATATGACAGAACTGGACTGGATAGGACAGAACTGGACAAGACAGGACTGAACATAATAGGAGTATGTCTGGTGTTTGGTACAACTAGGACTGGACGGGACAGAACTAGACAAGCTACCCCCAAAAGTTATTTGATGATTTTAAATATTATATAATAGTTATAATTAACACAAATAAAGTAAATAATTAAATGTGTACCAAATTTGAATGAAAAATTCGATATAATTGATGGTAGTAGTGGTGGTGGTGGAGGCGGTTTTGGTTATGGTGGTGGTGGCCGACGGTAGTAGTGGCAACGGGCAGTGGTGGTCGGTGGCCTACAGTGGTTATGGAGGTAGAGACAGTGGTGCTTGGTGGACGACTGTGGTTATAGAAGACATGAAGATGGTAGATTGTGGTGGTGGTGGCGGTTGACGACGGTGGAGGAGGTAGTTGTGATTGATGTAGTGAAGATAGTGGTAGTGGTGGTTATGGTGGAGGTGAGGTGGCAATGAATGGTGGTTGCCGATGGTGGTCGTGAAGGAGATTGTTGTAGTAGAGGAGGAGTTGAAGGTGACAAACGGTGGTGGTGGTGGTGGCAATAAACGGTGGTGGTCGGTGGTCGACTATGGTAGAGGTGGCAATGGACTTGGTGGACGGTGGTTGTGGAGGCGGTGGAAGATGTTGTTGTAGTGGAAGTAGAGGTGTCCATCGGTGACCGCCTGTAGTGGTGACGGCAGCTGAAACTAGCGGTGATGACCATTAAAATTTATCCACCATCGTTAAATAGTTAGGTAATCTCCCTAAAATTACCTGATTCACTTATAAGTAGTTAGGTGATGTCATCTATGAACAATTATCTAATTCACTTATTAAGTGTTAGGTGATTCATTTATGAACATAAGGAATCATATTTTTTTTTTTTTTTTGTAAGGGTGTCCGGGCTAAAGCCCGACTAATCCCCGGCAATTTTGGAGGCTAAACATGGCCCCACTTAAATGTCGCCAACACTCCCCTCCCAGGGCTCGAACCCGGGTTCATGACTATGCCATGCCCAAGCCTTTACCACTAGGCTGGAAGGTCTTTGACAACATAAGGAATCATTTATAAACAAATTAATCACTAACGAAAAACAATGCATGAGATAACACCCTGTTTGTTCATTTATGTTCAAGAAGCTCATTAACTTAAGAACTCTGTTAGTGTTTCACTTATAATCCATTGTCCAAGTGTTTTGTTGTATGAAGAACCGAAACTTTGGATGAAAACAAACTACTACGATGTAAAACAATCGAAATATCCCCTCGTTAATTCAAAAATAATATTATCCATAATTAACCTCCTTAAAAGTAAAGATATTATTCTGTAACCGAATGAAATAAAAATAATAAAAGTTATATATATATATATATATATATATATATGGAAAAGTTCAAACGAGAACATCTTCATTTTAGGAGAACAAGAGAACACATTTTTACTAAAGACAATCACATGTGATACTATTATTCCATCACATATGATACACATGTGATATTAAATCAAAGACGCAAACGATTTTCGATGCAATCTTGGTTGCGGGTCTAGTCGTCTTTGCACCACTAAACCCCCTCACAAGTATTAACACATGTGATAAGAGTGTCGTTGATATGATACTATAATCCATTAAGATCATTATATGTGATGCTAAATCATAGACACATACAACATTTGGTGTGGTCTAAGTCGTAGAACACGTCGTCCGCACATCACAGGTCCCTTCACGCGTATTATCACATGTGATAAGGGTGTTCTCGCATTCTCGTAAAATGGAGGTGTTCTCCTTTAAACCTCCACCTATATATATATATATATATATATATATATATGTGTGTGTGTGTGTGTGTGTGTGTGTGTAGGAGGAGGAGGTTGATATAAGAATATTAAATATCGTGAGAATGTAAGAAATAAAGTTTTGTACATGAAAAATAAGAAAAAATCTATTTGAAAATGCATATATAAACCGATATTATATGTTAACATACACATCTTCAGCCGTTCATTCTTACTTTCTTACGATATTTAATATTCTTATTTAAATCGATATAAATCTAATATAGAAAAAGGGCTTCAAAACTCCATTTGGGCTACTCTATCTCCACAAATATAAGCCCAAACTCTTATTTTCACTATCTAAGCCCATTTAAATCTTGATTGTCCACTCCATATGGTTGAATCCATGACAAAATAACTCAACAACCCACTTGTTTGTCATAAACCCTCTTTTATCTTATAATTGGAGCACTAGGAATCAATTTAGGACTATTTACCAAGGTAAACGCTTATTAAGGGATCGTTTACTAAAAATGTTTATTGGATAATTTTTCTTACCGAATGAACATGATAAGGGTCAAAAATCTTACCCGGTAAGAGTAATGATAAAGATGAAGAGTTTTATTCGGTAAGTAAAGGTGATGACTCTTACCCGGGTAAGCGCTTACCGAATAAATTGTTAAATATGATACCATTTTGATGTACTACAATCTTACTCGGTAAAATAAATTACAGTGTTAGACTCCTAATATTAAGCACTTACCGGGTAAACATCTAGGTAAACGGCCCCTAAATCATATTACCTTACCCGGTGAATATGTTAAAGTACCAAGAATTTTACCCGGTAAGAGCGAAGTCAAGGACCGAGAGTCTTACCCGGTAACTGAGGGCGACAACTCTTACCACCTTACCGGGTAAATTGTCGCATAACATACCGTTTTGGTAGACTAAAATCTTACTCGGTAAGTAAGTAATAGTGTTGAATTTTGCCGGTAAGCACTTACCCGGGTAAATGTTGGGTAAACGGCCCCTTAGTCCTTGCCATATTCATCCACTAAGGTAATGTGACTTGGTAAGCACTTACCCAAATAAATATTTGGTACACTGTCTCTTAAGCGATTCATTTGTGAGTTTGGGCTGAACCCAACCTTTTTTTGCTCAAGCTTTTGCAGGCTTAAAAACATGAATATATCAGCCTTATAAATTGACCGGGCTTACCATGGAATGGTGGTTTACATGAAATCAAGACAATGATCTCAAGTTAATACATGCTTGAATACAAACAACTAGAAACTAAAAACAAGATTTTGTGTAACACCGTTCTTTGTAAGAACAACTTACCGACTGAAAACGGGGTTACGCTATATCAAAATCAACAACCACACCAATGAACACCACAAAACAAAAGAGAGAATTGAAGTTAACGACAAATAAGACCTAATCATGGGTTTTTAAGCCAGCTTATGCATTTCGATTAATCCCCCATCACGAACGGCCTGGAGTCATCGCATATGAACCTCTATGGCCACAAAAGCTTTGGCGGAGTTCGCATTCGAACCCATATTTTCCATTACATCCCCATAAAACTTAACTAGTGCGCCACAACCCAAATGGTTAGAAGTTGCTACAAGTGATAAAAGATCCTTTTTTTTCCATGCACACTTCCAACTTTGCCATTTTTAGTGTTTAAATGACATTGCTACAAGTTGTGATCGCAAGAAAGAAGCCTAAGAAGAGATCAACACTACATTTTACATAGAGCGACATCATTTTTTTTTTGTTAACCTGGATATCCAACCTGTTATGCAAGCCGACTAATCCCATGACGACCACCTGTCTTGCAAATAGCCCGGAGTTACCGCATTTTAACCTCCGTGGCCACAAAGGGATTTTTATTCCTCCTTGGATTTGAACTTGAGACCTCCTGGTATTTTTTGACCTTTAGAGCGAGCGACATCATTTTGAGCTTTCACAAAAAAAATACACAATAATACATCAAATCAGTGGTAACAATATGCTTCAACGACTGTAACACTATCTAATCAAGTATTTGTTGACTAAATAATCTTTAACACATAACTACAGTTGAATTGATAAGAGAAAATGTTTATGAGATTATTCCGAGACTTGATAAAAAAAAAACTAGAGCTAATCATTTGCAGGTTTATGCCTAAACTATTTTTTTATTTGACAGATCTAATATAACAAACGCAAACCATTTTTACGGACTTGTTGATCTACCCTTACCCGTCGTAAAAACAGACAAGCTAACGAGCCTAAAATATCTTTTTTTGCGTTTTTAAGAACAAAAAAGTTGTTAGAAATTCTCACTATGGACTATCCAAAGGTCAAAAGTAACTGTAAGTCTCATGTTCAAATCTAAGGAGGAATAAAAATCCCCTTGTGACTACGTAAGTTCAAATGCGATGACTCCGGGCTATCTGCAAAGCAGGTGGTCAACCTGAGATTAGTCGGCTCGCATAGCAGGTTGGATATTCAGGTTAATAAAAAAAAATCTCACTATGGACTATGATATGGTGATATTCAAATGTTATTGGTCAAAATGGGTAGTAGAAGCTTAAAAATCTAGAAAAATAGATTTTAAGGTATCAAGTAACATGAGAACCATGCCCTTAAAAGGTAATTAATGCAAAATGTTGTTCTTCGCCGCACATATCATAATTCATATGTAACAGAACTTCAAAACAGTGCAATTTAGAATATAAAAACATGAAAAATCCATATTAATACATTAACAATATTCAAGAATCCAAGTTTTCAGAAGTATGAGATGATTCAAAAGCAAAACTCTGATGCATAAACACACATATATTGTAATATGCCTATGTACAGAAGTTTGAAAAAAGAATTGAAAATCAATACTGTCTGCTTACAAGATTTATACCAACAGATGATCATGTTTGAACCAAATATCAGTTGAAACCGGACCTTTTTACCAGTCATCAAGCCATTCTGGTGTGTTTAGTTCGTCCACATCTTCAGCTGGTAAGGGTACTGGAGCTGCGGTATCAGCAGGACGAGTTTCAAGATATTGATCTATACGGGAGATGATCTCCTGTGGAACTGCACAACTACCGTCCTTTACACTTGCCCAATTCAGACCGTCAAACCACCTATGACTTTTCACAGAGCTTGCGCCTTTGCTTCCAAGTCTTTCACTTTCATCCACTTCCAGTAACTTGAGGTTCAAAAAGAACAATAATGTCAAAAAGATGGTTTCTGTTTAGTCAACCAGAAATCGGTATCTTGCTGCTCAGTTGATTTTTGAGGTTGAAAGAGTTCTTGAATCTTGAAAAAGTTTGAAGAACCCGTAACATATTATGACCAAAATCCACATCTTTTTACTCAGAGTTGACTTTTGACATAAAAATAGTTGTCAAATCTTGAAAATATTAAAGAATCCCTATTCATTCTATGATCGAGAATCAATCTTAGAAAAAAAAAGGTTTATTGGCGGGGACCTCATGGCCCCATGGTCCACATTTTGTGAACCTACTTGCCATACCTCATAAGCAAGCACCGGAAAAGACAACCTGTCCTCCCTTGGAATCGAACCCGGGTGGGCACGCCCAAGGCAAGGCATTTACGGAAGGAGGTGGCCACTAGGCCAAGGCCTAATGGTTTCGAGAATCAATCTTGATGTTCAGTTCATTAGAAAAAGCTACAGACAGACTTTGAGATCAAAATAGTTATCAATCTTGAAACTTTTTGAGAACCCATATCAGTTTATGGCCAAGTATGAAGATCTAGTTGCTAAATTTGTGAAATAGAAGATACAGTTGACTTTTTGAGGTCAAAGTATTTGTCAAATCCTAAACAATCCCATATCAATTCCAAAGGCTGTTTGATTAAGTTGAAAGTAGGTACCTTTGTGATGAGATCAACAACTTCAGGGCTGAAAGTTTCAGGGAGAGTGAATTGTCCTTTGGCAATCTTTGCAAAGGTATCAAGTTCATTTTCTCTCCACGAACCAAATGGCATCTCACCTTGTAACATGAAGTAGATCAACACGCCTAATGCCCACCTGCAAATTATGTCTTGTTTTGATCATTTAATATTTTCATTTTGTGGGCCTTAGCTATATAATGCTAGAAGAAACAGAGGGTCCCAGTTACGAGAAATGAAAATAGTACAAACAAAATGGAGAACGAAGATGGTATAAACAAACAAGTGATAAGTCTTCTTGAACCGTCATATTTGGCACAAGATAGAACAATATATTTGCAAGTATGAACGTTTTTGCAAGTACTGTGGAAATGTAAATGCAAATAATAACCATCGTAGTTGGCAACTTTTTCCAAAATCATTCATTCTTGCAAACTGCAAAATGTTCTTTGTGCATTCTAGTAAGAATGATGGTTCATTTCCAATAAAAAAAAACTCAAGTAAGTCTCACCAGAAACAATTGAACTCATGGATAACATTTGATGACAGTTAAAACAGTTTATGATATCATAAACATATAATTTTTTACCAGTCCGCAGCAAAACCATGGCCTTTCCCTTGGACTATTTCTGGAGCTAAAGAATCGACCATCCCACATATTGTAAACGTTCTCTCGCTGGATAACTTCTTTCCGAATCTGAAATCAACTAGCTACGATACAAGACAGCAACATGCACACATATATAGACATGGGTGATTATTAATAATACTAGTTAAAGTTGTATAAGTAGTCATGAAGAAGTTCTCTTAAACAGCAACACACCTGTACATGTCCTGTTTGGGCAAACATTAGAACTTCTGGTGAGACACCTCTGTAGAGAATGCCAGCCTGAATCAAACCAAAGCAAATAGAAAAATTACAAACTATTAAATGGGTGATTAAGATGTTGAATCAAACCGATTTGTGGCGGTGAATCTGACCTTGTGTAGTTCTTCCAAGGCTATTATGACAGAGGCAGCACAGAAGCGAGCAGATGGCTCATCAAGTGGAGAGTGAAGTATGGAAGCAATAGGACAGGAGATGAGAGTGTTCAAAAGTATGCCAACGTAAGTTTGGTCGGCACAAGTACATAGAACTTGTGGCACACCAGCAGATGCATTTATGTGTTTGATTAGTTTCTTCTCCTTTAAAACCTGTTCTTCCTTCCCAAGTTTCTTGATCTTTTGTTTTGAAAATCTTTTTAAGCTAAAGAAATGTTCTGATTGGATGCAAAGAAGACATTAGTAAGTGCATGTTAGTATACTAAATGGTCAACACAATTACAGGATGTTGAGTATACGTTTAATATCCTTACTGAGATGCTAAGATCCTATTCCTTTCCACCATTTCACGATTTTATTTTGTGGGTCCTACTTATATGGAGTGCGAAAAAGTGAATGTATTTTGGGTCCTAATAGAAATGAAGAATGGAGGAAACCTGAATCCTTTGTCTGCACAAGCCCAATCTCACAGCAATCCGTGGAATATAAACATGTTTTCCATTCCTAAACAACAAGTACATACATTAATTTCATCGTCTTGCTTTCAAGAATGAACACAAAAGAAAGCACAAAGCAATTATCATACCAAATCAGAAAGCTGAACTTTTGAAAGCAAAGACAGATCAATATTTCTGATGGGCTCCCGTGGAAGATCACTAGAAGTTTCTCTTGACCTAAATCATGTTTAAATGAAGAATCAGACATGTGAAGTATCTTCTTGCCAAAAATTACGTGTTAACTAACTATAAATAGAGGCCTAACACAATTACAAACAGACAAATGTGCTTCACTTATGTATTGTTTTAGAAATTAGAGTTAAATAAGATCAGTGTTTATTGATGAATTCCAGACTAAAAATCACTTCTTCTAATTTGTTTTCGCTTCAGGACTAGTTCTACATATATGGGACTTATTATCCAACAAAATAAAAAAATTGGATCTAAATTGCTACAGCTTACCAAAAAGGCCCGGGATTTTTGATACTGAATCACGAAAACATAGAATTCCAAATTCAAACATGTTTGTCACAGGATGAAGCGTTAGCACATAACACTTATGAAAGCTTTTGTTATGGTCCAGAACGGTAAAGGTGTGGAATTTCTTTCAGAGAAGCTTGTTTGTATATACAATTTTAACGACTATTCCACATTTAATATATCTATGTCTTGCCTAAAAGTTTTCGTTTGACACCAATATTAGTCCCTTCTCCATAACAAGTTTTAGATGGAGGTCATGTAAAAATAGTAAATATAGAAAATTCAGCATAACGAACTTAAAAATATATAAAAGGAAAAAGAAAACCTGAAAGATGAACCAACTGTACAGATATTAAATTTATAAGAGCATCTTTTATTGCGGGTTGCACCGAGGAACAAGAAAAAAAGATCAATCAGATTGTGTTGTGTGCTTATCATCAAGGAAAAGGGTATATGGAGATTGGAGAATATGCCAATTGTGATAGATATCATATGTTAACCAATTTATTTTTCTGGTTTTCTTTTCTATGATAGGACAATAGCAACAGCCATGGATGCAAGACAAAATTGTTGATCTGTGTAAATCCTGTGTTTGATTTTTCATTTCCTGCAAAATATAACTGTGTGTGAGCTTATTGATCCTGCTATGACGTACCTGTAATCATCTTGTAAGATCTTTGGCAGAGGACCAACCACTGATTCAAACTTTTCCTTTGTTAAAACAGCACATACCACGTTGCCTACAGCAACGGCATGTAAAGAGTCTATGCATTCACCGAAGAGTGTCCATTCTCCAAAATAGCTCCCCTCACTCTTGTCCATCGAAAGCTCTGTACCACTTTGCATGTCATCATCCAGTTTTTGAATATCAGCCATGAGGCTGGACGCATTTTGACTTCTAATATATGAGTCAAAAGTGATCCTCACTTGACCCTTCTGGATCATATACAGTCCCAAAAGACCATTACCCTACAAATAGACATGGTTATATTGAAGATTAAGTAGGAATGTCAATAAAACGGCAATTTTTCTTAAAATAACAAATTTACCCTATCAACTATTGTCTGTCCATTGGAGAAGGAAACTTCAGAAAGAGCATCAGCAATGAGACTGAGTTGTAAGATTGTCAACCTTGAGAGAAGATCTACGGAGCGCAATAACTTCAATGATGATAAATTTGAGAACTCTGAAGTAAGAATTCCTCTAAAATCTTCTCTTCTTAGAGCCCAGAGGGTTCCATTTGTCACCGCACGAACAGAAGCTTGTAGGGGCTTATTGTACCTGTAATGTAGCAAAAAGAAGACCGGGAATGCCTAACCGTCGGTGAAAGATGAGCTAAATTTCAAAACTTAAAGGAAAAAAGTTCATAAAACTATTTTTTTTATATCTTAATAGTGAATTTCAACTCAAAGATGCACCATTCAACAAAAATTTGAAGCCGAATTTAGCAAAGAATAACCCCAAACCACTATATGAGGGGAACAGATTATACAACTTGTAATCAGGTGTCTTGTGAAATAAACACTCCCATGGTTAAACTTTGATAAGGCTTCAATAAAGTGAAAGATATCTCACATCAGTGCTAGCTCGCCGAAGGATGACAATTTTTCCGCTGTATACCGCTGTAAAACCCTTGGCACCGCTCCATTTGTCTCTTCCTGTCGACAATTACCTCATTAAAATTTAACCAACTGATAATAAGCTTAAAAACTTAACTGATCTATGCCTATCTTCAAAACAAAACATGTAAAGAGGTATCACCTGTGTTGCAAAGACCTCAAATTCACCACTTCCAACAACATAAAAACAATCACCCTCTCCACCCTGCAAGATATGACAACAATTAGACTTTTATATCCAACAACCTAAACATAGAGCAAACTGTGGTTACCTATAATATTTCTCCATGAGTGATCCTCAAAGAAATGAGGATGAAGTACAACACATATAAAAAGGCTTCGCCACTTAATAAGGTTTCGTTCTACATGCAAATAATTCCTCACGTCAATAATGTAGACCATCACATAAACAGAAATACTGTGGGATGGTTTTGGCATTACAGGCATAGATATACGAGTGAAGGTTATGACATATACAAAGGCATGTTTAACTCGACCATGTTAAATTTAGAATAGAATAACGATTCCAGCATGCATTCATGGATAAAACCAGTAGGAGATGTGACAAAAATGTTTAGCAATGACTGAAAGAGCACACAGAATCTTTCAGGGAAATTAGCTCCCTAAAACTGCAAGCTCATTTCGAATGAATAACTTACAACATGTGTTTATATGCACCATAAAGAAGGTGTATATGTTGAGTTAGCAGCGGATAAGAAGTTTGAGGCTGCTACAGACATTGAACGTTAAATTGATTTTTTATATCACCTCAATTTGATTTTTGTTGCAAAATATTCTTGTGAAAAATGCCACAAAGACACTATAATTTATAGAATGAGCAATTTTGGACATATTGTGGAAATGCAAGTGCAAAAAGATCACACTTGGCACCTTTTTGTCCAAAATCACTCAAATTCCCTTCTGGGGTATTCCGAAGGTGTAACTTTCTTTTTATTTTTTTTCTTTTTCTTTTTTTACCTTTTTGCTTCCCCAAAAAGGATGGTTTCTTTGAAATTAATGGCCAAGTATGATGGTTTGACGGTCAATCACTATTGCACGCATTGCAAGTCCTTGAAAGCTCATAGCGCACGATACCTAAAATGCATATATCTTCTTTTATCAAGTTTGTAACCATGAATTTACCACCATGGGTGGATGCACCCTTTAGGGGTACAGGGCACAAACCCCCATCCAAAAGTGGAAAAAGAAACCTGAAGTGTCGTATTTACCACGATGTTTTCCCCTTTACTGCCCCAACCTTTTTCTGGCTACTCAATCTACTGCCCCCAGTGACCCACCCACTCACTGCTTTTATTGTCGTATATCTCAGCAATTTTAGTGTTTTATGGATGATTTCAATATTTAAGCATGGAGTTTCTTTTGGAATGCATGATAATTTTGTCAGATTATGTGTTCTTCATAGCCATTTATGGTGTTTCACCAAGGATTTCCAAATAATCCGAACCTCATTCGCCACTAGGTATGTCCCGATCACCTGACTTCCTGGATCCACCACTGCTTACCACCTTTGCTTTCTATGGAACAAAGAAATGTGAGTGCTAAGAGAAAGAGGATGTACTCCTTCCGTTTCCATGCTATAAAAAAGGAAAAGATAGCGTTCCTGTAGATTCACTCATGCTTGACTTTAAGCAATCCCAAATGAGCACATTTATTTATATTTTTTTATCACATAAGGTACAAAGTTGTAACATCCTATCCCACACTGGTTCTGAATGTGAACTACGACTCTATGAGTGCTATATAAGCCCTTGGTAGTGGGTGCCAGGTAACTTCCAACCATGGATTTAATGCATTGGGAGATTATTTGGGCCAACATGTTGCTTTCAGCATGGGGTATTGCAAACATTACGGTTCCAAGAATCTGGGTGTCCAAGAATTTAAGTTGTGGTACTCGTAACATGTCATAGCACCTTCTTTGTGAAGGTGAATTATGAACCAATTACAAGCCCTTGGTAGCGGGCTACATATAACTTCCAGTCATAGTTTAGTTGATTTGAGGGTTATTTATTGCTTTGGGACTTGATCATTGCATAAATAATGGTTATCTTTAGAGGTGATATTTCAGCTATTGATTGCATCTTTGAAACATTCAACAGGATTTGGATCTCAAGGATCAAGTCTCGGATGACTGTAACCAATTTTGGGAGAGCCTTCTAACTATGTATCGAGAATAAGCAATTAAAATGTCAGCATAGTTGAATAAAATTATTGTTCAGGATCTCAAGGATTCATTCGCAAATTTATGTATGTGTAGCATCAGATATGCCACAATGAGAGGTTACTGAATATTTACCTGTTTCACCACAGTATCTCCTGCTTGAACTTCAACTCTTTGCATACAGTCCAACAAAACATGACACTGGGAGTCAGTAAGTTTTCTGAAAAGAAAATGATCATGCAACGCGCGTTCGATGTGTGCCTGTGAAGAACAAAAACTAAATTATCCACGGTCAAGAAGCAATGTAGTCATAAAATAGCATGTAGAAGTTTTTTAAACAAAGTCTTGCTCTACGCAAAATACTAATTGGAGGAAAGTTTACTTCTTCTTCCCAAGTTTTTCTATGGCCTGGAGATGGAGGGACCCACAATTGCCCATTCTCTAAAGAACTTTCGATTGCTCGGAGCCGTGTCCGTGATATATCAGTCCTTACTCGCTGGTTTTTAGCATTCCAGCTCATTGTTGGAGACTCTGATCCTGACAATTCTACAACTTGAGGTATGGGGGGTCTTAAAGCAGTGCTTGAAATGGCTGCTTGACCAACTGTAGCCTGGCATAAAAACAGCAATCAAATAAATAATTCAACAATGACAAACTATTTAACCCACCCAAATCAGACGTAAAGAAGTTCAAAGTGAAGGAGGAAACAAAAAAGAAGAGAAACCTCTGGCACAACTTTTTGAAGCAAAGTAAAATGCTTGATTACAATGAGTTAGCTTACCCCAGTCAATCCACTTATATGCACCACAATTACAGTAATATCATCTGTTCGGGTCTCAAATTGTAACCACAGCCGATAAGATTCAGCAACAATTGCAGCACATGCATCACGTGGATCCGTAAAGTTTGAAACCTATAGCAGGATATAAAGTGTTAGAATGATCATTTTGAACAAGATATGATGAATTTCGAGATGGATTCTAGATATTTGTTGTTTCTATTAGACCCAATTATGCCATTCCATAACATAGTTGGGGTAGAGGTCAGGGCGTACATCATACCCCCTAGACCCCACCTTCGGATGCGATACACTGGTTTGGTTTGGGTTTATCAAGCTTTCTCCTATGTCGGCCCACTGATCATCATTGTACTCTATTTATTAAACAGTTCTCTAATGATAATGCACCCCTTTTTAGAATACCTTCTATCATGGTGTCATAGCTCAAGCACTTGACAAGGATCCTAATCACATAAAAGGATTCTTGCAATTGCCATTGCCACCATCACTCTACAAACCCAACTGAGTTGCCAACAACCGATTCTCAAGCAATATATTTTATCAAAAAATCTGAATTACCCAATACTCAACCGCCCCCCACCACTAACCATCAATATCAATTACTGCTTCTGAAATCTTTAATCCATAACTGTGTCAACGGTAACCTAAGAAATAATTATACCTATATCAGACTAAAGGCATCCACAACCGGACTCTACTTCTTCCACCACACTTTAGTTGTCCGGCCATGCTGCCATGGTACATCTTAGAGCATCAGGCTCAATTATTAATACCGTGATATTGTAGGTCTTAAATGATAGACCTAGTTTCCAACCCTCCATTTTTCATATTGTAACACCATCCATGCTCCCCCAAAGTTGATGTTTTGTAAAAAAACAATGGTAGATATAGGTTGGATCTCCCTCCCTTCCCCATGAGCATGACTGAATGCACATTTGCACAAAATCCAAGAAAAGCAACAACATGAAGGATTTAACTTTATGGACTTTCAAGAACAAGGGTTCAGTGCCCTAGGTCATAAAAGTGGAATTTGCACAAATCTATTGACCGCTTTTACTCTGAGTACTAAAACCAGAGATCTGTCTGAGCATTACACTTGGTCTAATAAAACTAAAGAAACAGTCCCAAATCCTACGGTAAAATTCTGAGATTTTCGGCACACTAGCAAAATGTATTTGCAAGCAAGATGTTTATAAAATCCACATTTAATTTGATTATATCCAAGAAACCCACTGTTTAAGCCAGAAAATTTTCAAGATATTGACTATTTTCTGGATGAAATATATTGTTTTAAGTTACAAAGATGCAGAAGTAAAAGAAATTAACAGTTTCACACGTGAAAGGTTTAAATAGCTTAACTACATATCACTCTTTTTCTTTATTCATTGCGACATGTTCGCATATACACATATTTGTATTTTTGTGTGTAAACTCAAATCACTGGATCCACATTCTACTAAGACTCAATTTAGATATTGATATCTAGAGATTATGAACACATATTGATTGTTTGCCAAAAACTAAGGTCAGAAGATCATTGAACTGTGAATATTTTGGGCTGAATTTGCCTGCAATTGGGTGTTTTGAGACACATTAGCATAGGGGAGTGATTTCATCTAGTGATGGAAGTTGTGAGAATTTAGGTGTCAAATGCTGAAGCTAATAATGCAAATCTGTAATATTCTTAGTACCGTTAGAAACTATGCATCCAGTCATGAGGAAGGGGAGAGTGCACTAAAGTGTTTCAACAAACTGCATTACTTACTATTTTCAGCTACACGGTATATGATTGGTGGAGCAATACCAAAAAATAAGGTTATCCAAAGGGAGGGGAAAAAGATTGTCACATTTAATAGCTCCACCCCCAACCCAACCCACCCGCAGTACCAAATTACGGTTATGCAATGAGATGGACTTGGGATAAGGGACGAGTGTCATGTCTATTTCTTAATAATAGCCTCTTGTCAAATAAACCTAATCAAGTCTTTAACATACCTTAATGTAAGCTAAAACCAAAAAGACTACAAAGATATTGATTTAAAAAGAAAAAACAGTGTTGATTCTTTCAGATCAATGGTTAATAGTCAACCAATTATTCAAGTCTATGTGGCACTTAGTTTCATGGAGTAGCAAAGGCAAGAATCAGCTAATAGTTGCATGATTAGAACATGTAATTCATCATAATCCAGCCATTAATATATACATGTATTTGTATAATGTTTTATGATACTTATAGATCAAGTATTGTTAAAGTTAAAACAGGATACCTTACCATATCAACCACAGCTTGACTGGAAAGAAACTCAAAGACCCCATCACTAGCAATCACAAAGAACAGATGATCTGGTGTGAGTTCCAATGCAACAATTTCTGGATTAGCAACAACACCAATTGTCTCGGCAATAGAATCACCAATACTTCTTGTAAAAGCTGTGCCAGGATACATCCCATTTGGGACCCATAATCTAGGAGGATCACCATCATCACCTTCTTCAGTGCCCCAACACTGCACATCTGGATTCTTCAGACCTTCGATCTGATCCAAAGTAAGAACTCTGGCCCCACAAAGTTTAACCCTTTCAAGCTCATCCTCTCTAAATGGAGTTTGATCTATAGATAAGTCAACAGCCACAATTTCCGTTCCTCTCCTCTCAGCTATAACAGCTCTTGAGTCACCAGAATTGGCAACATAGAGTGTCTTCCCACGGACCAATATGGTAATTGCTGTTGTCCCACTCATACTATCATCTATACTGTTGTCCGCGTGTAACTGAGAATTTGTTGTCAAAAAGGAAGCATGACATGCCTCAACTGGATCAGTGTGAAACCGGCTATTTCTAAGCAAATTTTCACACAATCTTTGCTTCACAAACTGTGAGCACTGAGCCCCAAATTCCCCATGACCATCGAAAACCCCAAAGAAATGGTCATTAAGATTCGACCCAAATGGCGTGTGAATGCAAAAACTATCTTGGTTGGCTTTATCAAGAGCATCAGGGTAGAACCCTCTCTGAGATAGATATGAGTACTGTAGTCTGTAATTTCCTGCTGGAATGACAACAATTCTAGAGCCATCAGGCGGTAGAAACTGTGACGAAACCCTTCTTAGCCTAGTTATACCCACTTCAGGATTCGACGGCTGATTTCCTTCTCCATCATCTTCTTTATAAGAAGATTTAGGCGAAAACACACCAATTTCAGATGCACCAACATTATCAGTTTCTTTTACTTTACCATCTCTAGGTGCACATATATCACCAATACAGTTACAATCTATTGAATAAGCACAACCCATTATTGCGAACAAGAATCCACCATAGACCCGTCTACAAAAATTGCATTAAACCTCATGATGGATGTGTTTCACGGCACTTCGTTTACTGAAGGGGAAAACCGGAAGCACGTTGCCCAACTCCAATAACAAAAATGCAGGAGCTTGAACAGAATTCTTCACTGCTGGATTTATAACTTCAGCTCTCTGAAGTAATTCAAAAGGAAACAAAAATGCCAAAGAAACAACCAATTAGAATCTAACAAAAAAACCTTATCTGCTGTCATAGCTCTAACTAAATCCTAAAATCGAGAATCACCACGTATCAAAGTAAAACACAAACTAAATCCCCAAATATATTATCCACCTAAATAACAACTAAAACGATATTATTCTCCAATTTCGAGTAATTCGCTGAAATGGAAGTCCAATCTAACAAACATCAGTAAATCGCCACTCACCCAAAAACCTTATCTTCTCATGAAATTACAAATTATAAGCTGTCATGACAAAAACCCACAAAACTTACAACCTAAAAATGTCGATAGATACAGTTATGATCTATGAATAAGGAAAAAGCCTGTTGGCAAATGGCATACAGAGTTACTGAATGGATATGGATGCTGGAAGACAGTTGTACCTTGAAACTGAAGATAAAGAAGCAGAAGACGACGATGATCTCACCTCCTTACAGCTGGGTTTTGATCAGAAAAGGGGAGAAGGCAGAGTAGAGAGTCGACAGGAGAGAATGGAGAGATGGATTGTTGTTTGTGAAGGATCGATGCATGTGTGGAGCGACAAGGTTCTCAGCTTTTTAGTTGATGAGTGAAGCAAGTAGACGCTTGGTCCACGCGCCTGTTATCATGACGCGCCGCCCTACTCATTACACTAATCATCTTTACAAACACCCTTATTAAACTATAGACTAAATTACATTTTTGGTCTCTCGTTTAAATAAATTTACCTTTTATGTCCCTGGAAATAAAATATTTATGGATTTAACCCTTATAGTATGCATTTTATAACGTCTTGGTCCCTTGTTACAACTCCGTTAAAAAAATCTATTACACAGGTAACTTAAAAGGACATTTTGATATTTTACTGATTTCCTTTTTTTTTAATAAGAAGTTAAAATGTTATATATATATATATATATATATATATATATATATATATATATAAAAGTAGAATCATGCGAAAAGTGAATTAATTTATGAGAAAGCAAGAAGGAAGATGGAATACGTAATCCATTAATAAAAAATACCATAAATGAAAATCAAAAATAATATTTAGAAATAAAGATATATATTTTTGAATTGGATAAATTAATAAAATCCAATGTTCGAAAAAGCTCGCCGCAACAGCTGCCATGGCGCGTCGTGGCTCAAAGCTTGTGTCTCACGCCACGTTATGCTTGAGGTACACCATGACGTAATGCACGGTTTTCGTTACAAGACATTTGATTTTACTTATCTTTTCAATATATAATTTAAATTAAATTGTTTAGTATCATTGATTTATTGAGTAATAGTAAGAAAAAATACGTTTATGTATATAACTTTATATATGATATAGAGATTTGTCGCCATAAATCACGTCTTAAAAATGCCGCGACCTCGCCTTGGCTTCCAAAGCTTGAGCTTGACCTCGTCGTCACGCCACATCTCACGCTATTTAGAACCTTGTAAAAATCTTATTATATCTTTGGATTTATTTATTTTTTAATTCTTATTAATTCATAATCTTTTATCAAGTTTTATGCAAGTTTTTTCTAGATACACTTTTGATAAAAAAAAAATTCACAATTTTGATCAAATATCACCGTTGTGTGCTCGAGTTCTGTCTACAAGGGAAAAAAAAGGAAAGTAGGGGGAAAGAAAAAATGTTGTGTTCTCGAGTTTTTTTTAAATAAGAAAGGGAAAGGAAAGGAAAGGAAATCATGTTGATTTTTCTCCCAAAATAATTGCTCATTTATTTAAATTTAATTCATAAAAAGAACGTGTAACACCTCAAAAACTAAAAAAACAACTAATTTAAAAAATTTATAATACATTATATAAAGAGTAAATTAATTTATAAAAGTCAACACTTGATTACCGTCAATATTATATGTCCACGACACGTGTCATACAGTGAAATCGCTGGAGAGTATGTAAACTTATAAGGTCGCACATAAAAAAATGCGTTTGATTGCATTTGAAAGTAACCCGAAAAGTCATGTTTGACTGTTAAACAATTATTCTTGAAGAATAATTATAAAGTATGTGATATAATATAATTATGATAATTACATGGTTTTATCTTGTAATATATATATATATATATATATGTATATATATAATTATTAATGTTTTTAGATGATTATATAAATATTTACAGATAAACACTAAAACCTTATGTGAGTTATTGGCTATCTGAAATACCGGATCATATAAATAGAGTGATAGGCCAAACCAATTTTCAGCTGATTCAATTCTCTGAATTTGATTAAGAAGTTCTACGTTCTTAAAAACCTCCTCCAAACACCCCTACCAGAAATGCATCAGTTGAAATCAGGGTTGCTTATGATAAGTACCAGAATGACTTACTAAATGTTGGTTGTCTTATGCTTGCTCTATGACTCACGAGTTATTGAGGGGTCATGAAGACATGACAACATGGGATATGATATTATCAATGAAATCTATGTTTTAGTTAAATACTAGACAGGAGAGGTTTGAAACATTCAGGGCATTGCATGTATGTATGATTACCGAGGGTTCATCGGTTGGTGCCCATGTTTTGAAAATGAAATGATACATTGACTGATTCATCTTCGTTTCCCACTATAAAAGGAATTGGCAATCGATTTTATCCTCAATTACATACCTAAATCATATGATTAGTTCTCCATGAACTATAAATTCACAACATGCTTAAAACTGCTAAAAAATGTATAAAATTCAAGTTGGATTTAATCAACTCGAAACAGGTTTTGATGATCAAACCTAAAGGTGGGATAGTAAGAAAGAAGACGGTGATTTCCAAGGGTAAAACAAAGGTTGGAAGTTCCAACATGGATAAGGGAAATGAAAAGATTCAGGAAAAGTTGCTTCAACTACAACAAAAACTGACACTGGAAGAGAAATTCCCCAGCCCTACTAGCAGATCAAAGGAAGCAGAAGTATAAAATAACTGGAGCTTCAGGTATGTTTACCATTGATTTGTTCACTTCTAATACAGATTCTTGGATATTAGACGCCACGTGTGGTACTCATATGTACTACTTTGTAGGGACTAAGAAGTTAAGAGAAGATGAAACCAAGCCAAATGGAACTAAGAATGGGCAATTGAGTTAAGGTAGTTGCAGTTGCACAAGGGATGTATGATATGGAACTGCCAATTGGATTTATATTTACTTTCGGTAATAATACAATTTTTGTTTACCTAACAATGTTTTATATTTTGTGGCTAAACAACATAATGGTATTTATGAAATTCATAGGAAAAATAACTGTAATTACGAATCAATATAAAATGCAAACAATAAACAAATTAAGCAGTACTTAAATCAGACTTACTTGTGGCACTCTCGTCTTAGATATGTGAACAATAAGCACATAGCCAAACTCCAGGCGGAAGGAATGTTGGAATAATATGATGATTCATATGATATATGTGAGTCTTGTTTATTAGGCAGGATGGAAAAAACTCTTTTTAAAGGCAAACCTGATACGGCTACAAAACTGTTAGGAGTCATTCATACTCATGTATGTGGGTCTTCCAGTTCAATCACAAGAAATGGTCATCGTCACTTCATTACCTTTACTGATGACTTCAATAGATATGATTGTGTTTACCTAATGAAAAAAAAAATCTGAAAGCTTTGAGATATTCAAAGAGTTTCATAATGAACTAGAAAATAAACTTGGAAAAAAGATAAAAGCGCTTCGGGCGGATTGAGGTCACGAATATCTAAGCCAGGAGTTCATTGATCATCTTTGAGAATGTGGGGTAGTATCCCAACTATCACCTGCTGGAACACCTCAGCATAATGGGTATCTGAAAGGAGAAATAGAACTTTGTTAGACATGGTTCAGTCTATGATAAGTCATACTACACTGCCTAAGAGTTTCTAGGGATATGCCCTAGAAATAGCTGCCTGAATACTGAATAATTGACCAACCAAAAAGACCGATAAAACCCCATATGAGTTATGGATTGGAAAGGTCCCAAAATTATCTTATATGAGAATATGGGGTTGTGATGTTTATGTTAAGCAAGAAGCTTCTAAGAAGCTTGTACGAGATCTGAAAAGTGCATCTTTGTATGATATCCGAAAAAGACAATTGGATATTACTTCTATAAACCCAGGGAGAATAAAGTATTTGTTGCACGACATGGTGAATTCTTAAGATATGATTTTCTAACAAGAACCACTACGGGGGACAGAGTAGAACTTGAAGAAATTCAAGAACCTCAAAATAAGACTATCGTTAACACTGACCATCAACAAGATGTTGAACCTTAACAAGTTGTTGAGGAAAATGACGAGATACAAACAATCCGAAGATCAAGCAGGAATCTTCAAGAGCCTAAGAGATATGGTTACTCATTGGCAGTGACAATGTAGTTCATGATGAACCTATAAGCTTCCAAAAAGCCATATCAGGTTTGGAATCTGGTAAAATGGCATGATGTCGTGAATGATGAAATACAATCCATGTCAGAAAACCAATTTTGGAACTTGGTAGATGCATCTATCAGCTGCAAAGTTGTCAGATGTAAGTGGTTATTCAAAAAGAAAATTGACATGGATGAGATTGTGCATACTTATAAAGCTAGATTGGTAGGAAAGGTTTCACTTAGACTCATGGAGTACGTTATGATAAGACATTTTTCCCAGTAGTTATTATTAATCCATCAGGATTCTTTCGGTCATATCTGTGTATCATGAGTACGATATATGATAAATGGATGTTAAAATCGCGATCCTTAACGGAACTTTAATCCAGGATGTGTAATGGTACTACCAGAAGGTTTTAAACATCTGAAGTATCCTGAAAAGGTATGCAAATTGCAAAGGTCCGTTTATAGACTAAAGTAGGCAACTTGTAGATGGAATCTTTGTTTTAACGAGAAAATCAAGGAATTTGATTTTATAAAGAATGAAGATGAACCTTGTGTACACAAGAAGGTCAGTGGGAGCATAATACTATTTTTTATCCTCTATGTTGATGACATATTGATCATCAAAAATGACATCCCAACGCTTGAGTGTGTAGAAGTATGGCTAGAGAAGTGTTTTGCGATGAAGGATCTAGGAGAGCTGGCATATATCCTTGGCATAAAGATCTATCGAGATAGATCTAAACGTCTAATTAGATTATGCCAAAGTACATACATTGACTAGGTCTTGAAACGCTTTGATACGAAGGGTTCCAAGAGTGTAAACTTGCCAATGGTACCTGGCATAAAACTGAGCGAGACTCAATGTCCTAGTTCAAAAGAGTACATGAACGGTATGAAGGGTGTTCCCCATGCTTCGTTTGTCGGTTCTATCATGTATGCCATATTATGTACTAGACCAGAGTTCTCGTATGCCCTAAGCATAGCTAGCAGATATCAGTCAAACGCAATTGATGTTCACCAGGTAGTAGTGAAGAATATCCTAAAGTATTTGAGAAGAACTAAGAATATATTCTTACTGTATGGCGATTAGGAAAGAGATCTGTGTATTCAAGGGTATATAGTGCTAGTTTCCAAAGCGAATGTGGTGACTTTAAATCAAAGACATGATATATGTTTGT